GAGGAACTACGACTTCAATTTAGACTTTGTTCATTCTAAACCGATTTGATTACATATTCAATTTCCACTCCAATTATCACAACTATTTGACAAAAGCGCAAATCATTTAACAACACTTTGTAGCGATAATTTTTTAAAGCATTTTAAAGGTATTTAATAATTCATCCAAATTATTTGGTGATAATATCTATGGCACCAAAAGACTCCACCATAATTTGTATGACCAAACGAGAGCTACTAGGCGCGCGCGCGAAATGCACAGCGGCTGTAGGCTCTAACAAGCTAGAAATGATTACTTTAATTATAGGTGAAATAGCCTGTAATAGTCAAACTAATAATAATATGCATGAAATAACGCAAAATAAATATAATTATTGTAATTATTAAATGGCGGCAAAAATCGGACTAACGCCAGGCGGTTTATTGCGCTATCCACGCGTATGGTTAAGTGAAGTATGAAAATTGCCGAATATTTGGCAACTCAATTTAATGATTCGGACTATAAAAGGCAAGCCGGTCAAAGCCAACAACACATTAAGAGAAACACTTTGCAAATCGGCGCGCATCAGTAAAAACTACCTTTGTATTACAAAAATGTCGAAGTCCTTTCTACTCTTCCTACTGCTAACGGTGCTTAGCTGTGGTTTGGTGGTAAGTGCGCTGAAAGCCTATATGTGACCTAGTCTATGAAAAGGGAGCTAACGTGCGAAAAAAAGTTTTCTGGGAAACAGCTGTTAAAAATCTCATCTTCCATCCGAAGCAACTAAAAAGTGAAAATTGATTTTTTGGATTTTTTGACACCTAAGCCCCCTTTCCGTAGACCAGGTCACATATACTGAACTTCCACTGTAAATAATGTAATCTCATAACTGGCAGCTCGCAAGCCCGCAGGCAGGCTCTACTACCGCACCACCTTCAACCGGTTCAACGTCCAATGGCGGAGCTAACGCTCAGAACATACGCGGAGGTATCAAATTCTCTAAATTATAAAAACATTTTTTCCAGTTTTACAATTAATAATAAACATTGCTACTAAACCCAAGCTCCGTGCCGTGGTCCGCCAGCTGTTGGTCAGTACAAATTCAACTAATTCGAGACGAAGAACAAAGAAGCATATTTGAACCGGAATTGGAGAAGGAACTGCTGGAATATTGCTCAAAAACTGTAAACAAAGCGACCTCAAAATTGTTTCGTTCAATAAAACTTGCTTGGCATTTCAACAAATGGTTTTCTTAATTATATATTTTATTAAGTCTGTTAGGACGTTGGTAAAAAAGCCAGCTGAAGAGCCACTGTAATCTATAATAATACACTAATTCTTTGAAACTTGATTAAGGACAAAATAGAAAGATTAAATTAAGAATTAAATAGAAAATTAAGCAAAAAATAGATTGTTGAAAATTTCCGAACCCATCTAACCGCTTAATTCAAATTGTGACTTTGAAAATTTCCAAAAATCGATTTTTTTTTGCTTTATTAAATTCTACAACACGTCTAGAATACAGTCCCAAATTTTCAAGTTGATCTGGGTAATAATTTCGGAGATACAGCCTTGAGAACTTGTGCACTTAAGGCTAGCTGCGCTAAGTGCCCTGTCTTCAAACGCGTTTCTCTCGAAACTGTGTTTTTGAAGTCAGTGGACACGATTTCCCCAAAAGTTATCGACCGATTTAGTTCGTATTGTGTACACGTTTAACAATAATATTATCTACTTATTGAACGAAGGATTTTTTCTTGTTTCATTACAACTTATTTTTCTGACCAGAAAATGCCGAAAATTTTACCAAAAATGAGATTTTTTGTTCAAAGTCCGTGAAAAGAAGGACAATTTAATATTTTTTTATTTCCTACATTCAAAACGAGATTTAGTTATGTACTAACAGAATGTGCTTAGTTTTTTTAATTTTATATGAACCAATAAGAAGTTATGCTGTCCACGGCGAGAGCACTTTTTTGAGAGACACCCAGGGAAATGCGGTCGCAACGGCGGATTTTCAACATTTTTGTAATTTCAGGAGATATTTTTCGAATATGTACCTTGGATATAACAAATTTTTCAAATATATGATTGCTTGTATTAAAAAAATCGTAAAAATACCTTTTTTTTGCACCTCTGAAACCTAACTAACCCCTTAAAAAATCAAAAAGTTCGGACGGACATTGAACAAATTATATTCTTCGGACTTACCTACTTAACAAACACAATTGTATTATTTCGCAAAAATTTTGATCTTAGGTAGATCTCATGTAGAACCTTCTATTATCATCAATAATATTTTCTGTTTGTTTGATAGCAACTCCCATAATATTCTTATAAGCCAAAATGTGTGGAAATTAGTCTTCGGTCCTTTATTCGAGATATAATCATTTGGTTTCAACCATAATATCAATCCAACTTTCAGAAATATAGCAATTATTAAATATAGTTCTTTGTGAAGCCAAACATGAGAACTGCTTTATTCAGATCTCAAGCATCGGCAAAGCGCCTGGAGTCCAATACAAAACTGTTTAGGAATTTTTTTTTACCTCCAGGATCTCTGAAAGTGTGATCTCGCAGTTGTTTATACCAATGGAAGTGGAAGTCCGGTAAGATTCTCAACTTTATTGCGTGGATACTGGATCATATAGATCTCCCATAACTAAGCTTTTTCAGAGCAAAAAGCCGACCAGGCCTCTTGTGATCCACTTTGGGCCAAAAAGATCTTGCAACAGCACAATAAGTAATTGTATCCCAGCACTGAAAAAACGGAGCTCCGACCTGTTTACATTCTATTGTTATCGGGGCTAAGTTGACTTTCTTGTCAGCTCGTCAACTTTGTAATTACCTCATCTGGCAACAATACTAGTTTCATCACGAAGTGACTCGATGTCATTGAAACCAAGATAAAGCTTTCCTTAAGTAGGAAGTATATATGTGAGTTGAACCTTTCATAAGTGGTGACTCAAATGTAGGAGTAAAATTTTCGATATACTAAATCTTTGAGGTGCAGCTAATTGATATGACTAAAGTGGACTGCTAGTGAGCCTAAGGTGTCATATAAGACCTCATATAAACCATGAATTGATAAGTAGTACAATTATTTATTTTTTTTTAGGTTTTTCTAACCTAAAAAATGCCTCACAAAGGGCTGATTTAAGATTTGACTTCGGTCAAAAATTGGAAAATAATATCAATCAGTATTAAAGTAGCTTAGGTTAGGATAGGTATTTACCTGAGCTGACATCTCAGGAGGCTATTGTTAACTTATTTAAATAGCTGGAGATGCTTGTCTCTTGTGATGTATAGTATTTCTAGGTATAGACCAAATAGCCGATTCGCGGAGCTTCAACCTTTGGCTGACGAAACCAGGATGGTAGAGGAGAAATATGATTACAAGGTGCCTACTTGGTTCCACCTCATCTCCAAAATCTGTGGCCTTGACGCATGAGTGCTAATAGGGTGATGATGTATGTGGTGATGTGAGCCTTAATAAGATCAACCTTTAATATTCTATTCTAGCCCAGAAGGCTTTCGCAACGCCACAAAGCGAAGCCCATAAATCCTGCGTTCGATGTCACGAAGACAGGGTAAACCCGGCTCATTCCCATTATAATACAATTTGGGTACGGTGCCTTTCCTCGCAAGCTTATATGGTTTACAATTCCTAACGATTCCGCTATGGGCAAGCAAGGTAAGATATTGGTGAAGATTACCACTACACAGCCTGTGCTTCTTCCCAAATAAACTAATATGGTTTAAAGCTAGAGACCTTAATAAACTCCTCTCCAAGCAGTTTCTTTTGGGGTGTTTTCGTAAGAACGGTCCTTGAAGTCCCCTTCTTGAAGCGAAACCACCTACTAGGGGCATCAATAGGACGCCTAAATAAGACAGTACGCCGACCGAACCATTAACACCTTCACCAACTTCCTCTCAGTGAATGGCCTACTTAGATTCAAACTATTCATTGCAGATGCCGTACCCGAGTTACCACGAGAGACGCTTGCACAGCTTCGTTCTGGATACTGTAGCAGGTTAAACTCTTACTTATCCAGTGTTGACCCCGAGATAACAAACATATGTCCAGCAAGCAATGAGTCCCATGACTCTAACTCCCTCTTCGCTTGCCCAGCTAACCCTACTCCTCTGACACCCCTTTCCCTACCGTTGGCTGACCTCGATGGTAGCTAATATGAATCCTACCACTCTAACGGTAACTGGACACTAGTTACAACAACAATTTTTGGTAAAGATAGTAAAAACTGATTTCTGATGATTTGATTTCTATTAAGTGTATAAAAGCAGAGAATATTGGGTCACTCAGAGCTCGATTTCTAACTTAAAAAGCTCTCAAAAACTCATAATATTTTCTGTTTTATAAAGTAAGTTGCGATGTGGGGCAGACATTGAAGAAGATCCTCATTCAGACTTCAGCTATGGAGTTCGAAAAGAATCTCTGAGCGATTTTTTGAAATATTTATGCCAAAGGTAGACTATGTATATAATTTGAAAATTCAACTAACTTGCTTAAAAATTTGGAAATGTTGCAATATATAATATATTCCACGTTTTTTTTTTTTTTTCTGCAGTTGGCCGTTTCTTCAGTATTCCATAGCTTGACTGCTGCAAATATAATTGTAGGCGAGTTTGGCAACCCAAAAAATTACAATAACAATTTACTGCACGGCACTCGCATATACCCACATTAAGTGGTCATATTTATGCATCGACAAAACCAAGCATTTTATGTTTATAATTAAGTTGGAATTTATTACTGCGGCAGATAAAATGCAGCAAAGACAATAATTTACCTTTATGGTTTTATTAAGCCAATAACAACAGCTGGCAAAAAATTAAACAACAACATCAAATGAGCATTGAGTGGACTGGGGTGGAAGTTGTATATTATATACTCACATTGAAGGAAAAAGGATATGTAAATGTTTTGCTGACAGAAACTGTTTTTGGCATAATTGAATTTTCTTCTAAATATAAAAAATGTTTGTAATATTTGAATGCATTTTAATTTGAAATATTATATAAATTTGTTTAAAAATAAAGAAGTGCTGAATTTGCTATAAAATTGTAGATCTGTAGAGTTAAGACCAGATGTAATACATAGAGGTTCATCCGTTGTCAAACGCTTGTATTTCGTATGTTGTTAGGTGATTAAACTATCCCGAGCTGGTGCTATTGCTGGGTGGGGGACCACGTTCTGCAGAAAAATAGTAAAATATTAAGAAAATCGAGCTATGAGTATTAAGTGAACTTACAAAGGGTGCAAATGGAATGGCGAAATTTTGTAAGAAAAAAGTGCTATATATATATATATATATGTTCACTAAAATGAGACCTTGATTTGTGTTTGATAAGAGATATGTTGGCAACTTTATGCATACAAAGTGTTGTAGCCACCTGAAATTCTTTAGATGAATCCTTTAAAAAATTTGTGCTCCATAAAATATAATTCACTAGGCACTTATAAATAACTGCTTTCTAAGATATATGACTCTGTATTAAAAGAAAAAGCTTCGTATGTTAGGAATTTGTCAAAATATCTTAGAACAAGTGTAACTAATGTTGCTTATTTAAAAAAAAAAAATATCCAAATAGTGATGAAAGCTTTTAAAGCATACTCAACAGATGTCGCTGATATTGCTTTGAAGCTTTAACACTCGATTTAAGACTTCTTGTATTTTTTTATATATATGTTGACTGATTTGATTTATTTTCCATATAGCACAATTTCAAGGAAACACTCGAACATGTCAACAATAAATAGTTTCCCAAGCTGCAGAAGCTTGAGAATGTCTTGAAGAATAAAATTATGTGTACTTATAAATGAATTTAAGTAATTTAGAAAAAATGTGGATTTTCGAAATGCTAAATCCTATAGGAAACTTTCATTACTTATAGTTCGTCTTAAAGTTAAAGCTTCTAGCATGTAAAAGGAGAAAGCTTAGTGTAATTTGAGCTTTAAAGGCACTTTCATTAAAAAAAAATGTTTTTTTTTTTACAGTTTTATAGTTAAAAAATATAGTAATGACGCTAGCACTAATTAAGCTTTTATACGATAGAAAGCTTTTATAAAAAGTTTTCCATTCAAAGCTTCCAAATAGAGACACAAATTTTCGCAATTCTAAATCAATGTGGAACTTGCATCACTTATAGTTTATGTAACAATGAAAGCTTTTAGCAACAAAACAAAAAGCTTTGTGTGATTTGAGCTTTAAACGCGCTTTCATTGAAAAATGTTGTTTTGTTTTTAATTTTTTAGCAATGATTTAAGAAATATAATAATGACGCTAGCACCAATTAAGCTTTTATATGATAGAAGCTTACATAAAAAATTCCCAAAATTTAGAAAAAAAATTATGAAAAATTGGGTTTTTGCCAATTTAAAATCACCCACTTATAGTTCGTCTAAAAATGAAAGCTTATAGTATAGCAAATAAGAAAGCTTAATGTGCTTTTTCAAACCCTGAGTTTTAAAAGCATGTTCATTAAAAAAAAGATAAAATTTGTGTATTCTTAAAATATAATAATAACACTAATGCTATTTGAGCTTTCATATGATGGAAAGCTTTTCATAAAAAGCTCCGAAATTTAAGAAATACATTTAGAATTTTGCAATTTTAAGTCACTATTATCTATCCCGTTAACTTGCATTACCTGAGTTCAGCTTAAAATGAAAGCTTAGTACGCTTTTTTTTCAGTATTAATTTTTTAAACCAGTTTCATTGAAATTATATATATATTTTTCTTTAGTGTGGTAGTAATAAAGTATAATAATAGCCTACACATAAAAAATTTTGAATATTTTCCTGAAAGACATGTATGTATTATGCTTTTATAGAAGCATTGAGCTTAGCGAGTGCAGTAAGCTATTTTTTTCGTTAGAAATGATGCTTGTGGCAAAGACCTCAATAGGTCTCAAAAATGTATAACGATATTGTTAGCTTACTAATATCCTAGTCACATCGGGTATATATATGTAAACTAACTATTGCGCTTTTCTTATATGGAAACCTTGTTCTTAGTAAACATCTACTTACTGCCGTTTGGTGGCGGACCGCTGGGACGTGATCCATTTGGTGGAGGACCGCTAGGTGGCGTACCACTTGGTTGTGGAAGAGCCTGAAATGGTAAACAAATATTTATATATATATATGAGAAGTTGTAGATATACATTTTKCTCTATTAATATTTATTATATTTGCACTTATTGACACACTATTATGACGCCGAAGAAAGCGCTTAATATTAGAACAATCAGGAAATTCAATTTCATTTTGTTAGCACGATTTATGACAAACTGATGTAAAGCGACAACGATGAGCAGCTTTTATAATGGATTATCAACATTTTTGCATTACAATAGGGCGGTGCGCAAATGTCTAGAAATTTTTTTAACAACTTTTTTATATAGATTTGAGTCTGCAAAATATATATACGAGACTTGTTAAATGAAGTTTGTAGAGTATTGATAGCTGCAGTTCGCTTATCGATGGACATATTTACCTATGAAATAATAAATAACAAGCTCAAATTGAAATCGAAATTAAGAGGTGGAGTGTTTGAAGCGCACAATTTTGAGCTCAAGCAAAATACTTTTTGTTTATTTCACTTTATTGTCCGCTTTTTGACGCGGAAACCAAATATAAATGTTGTAAAAATTATATAGCTCAAAAATTCCAAAAGCAAAAAAATTTATTACACCCTAAAAGTTGTTGAAATATTTACAGGGTGTGTAATTAAATTAAATAAATTATTTTATGACCTCAACAAGGGTTCGGCAATGACTGGATTACACTTTTCACTTTTTTTCGAATAACCATGTCAACCGCAGACAGATGAAGTCAAATGACGATCAGCTCGACCAGTTAATATCATCATATGCGATATTTGAATATTGTTCGTTGTGCTATTGATGTTCATGTTTGCGACCTCTATAGTCTATAATCGTACATTCCGATTTAATATTGACCGTTGTTCCGTTGACAACTTGTTTGAGGACTCCAAATTGCAGGTACTTCAACAAAATCCATCGAATTTCTCTTTCAAAAGTTTGTCGTCTAAAGTGAGTCAAAGTTGACGCACCCGGTATATAAGTACTTAATTTGATTTACTACTTTTTTATTCAAAATCAATTATAAATAGATTGAATGCAAGCATGCATGAAGTGCAATTTAGTATTTAAAAGCAGATATAGTTCGTAAGATAATGGAATTAATTTGAGAGAGTGTAAAAAGTCACACAGATATGACAAATGAATAAATAAAACATTAGCAAAAAGTTGGATTTTTTTTTTTTTTTTTTTTTTTTTTTTTTTTTTTTTTTTTTTTTTTTTTTTGTTAAGTGCGCACTCAATTCGGAAATGATTGAGCGCAACTATAAAGCAATAATTTTTGTTATAATTTTATTTCAAATTAGCAAAACATTAACTAATTTTAACTATATTCAAATAAATTAATGCACATGCTTTTTTAAAAATTGTTGAAATTGAAAATAAATTGTAATAAGAAAACTAAATTTGTTCTTAGCAACTCAATATTATTGCATAAACAACGTTTTGGTCACATTACCGCATATTTGGCGAAGTAACGGGCGATCTAATTTGCATCTAATATCTTATCTAACATTTAAAAATGTGCCAGAAAATATTTACAAAATATTGCATGCAGATAGACAAGATAGACAAGGGTGATCCATTTCGATGTTCCCTATTTTTTTTTTAAGAAAAAAGCATGGAAACTTCAACCTGCATGGGGAATGTTTATTATGCTTCGAAAGAACATTTTTTTGCGCAATAACAGGCGCCATTGACGGCATCATTTTTGTAGAAGTATCGACCGATGACACAAACTACCCCAAACCGTTCTTTTTTCTGGATTCAGCTCTTGAATTTCTCAAGTTCAAGTTGCCCTTCGTTCTAAATGCTTAAATTTTTCTTGTTTATATAACCATTGAGACAGATGTGGCACTCATCGCTGAACAAAATTTGGCTTGGAAACATTTTACCTTTTTGAATACATATTTTCAAGAACTCATAGAGAGAAACTATGTCGCTTTGGAAGGTTTTCAAATTAAGATCTCGACGTATAATGCGCCATACGTCAATCCGATATGCACCGAACGGCGCCGAATCGACTCTACACGGTCTTCGTGTGCACTCTCAGCTACGACTGCTTTATTTTCTTTAATGAGTGCCGGACTTGGTCTATTTGGTCTAATACTCGCCAATAATGAAGGTTGAATCTCAATATGGGTGATGGTATTGCGAATAGCCCCTCAGTAGGCCGATTATGTTGATCATAAGTTGAGCAAAGCGCGCGAAACACATTTCTTACTTTACATTCGCGTTCAGGCATAAGACTTTTCACCTTTTCACGATGGAATGGAAACAATGAGTTTGCTTGAAATTTTGTGTGTTTCATTAGAATCACGGTTACGGAATCGCTTAAAATGTTGCAGAAATATTTTAAAAACTCTACTTAGTGAAGCTCGGAAAGTCAGCGAAAACTTGTATCATACGAGTCACCTCTGTTAATAAGGACAACAAAGAAAAAGTTAAAACAAAAAAAAAATAGTGTGTCTTCTTGGTATTAGAACATCTTTTATATATAAAGTGAACAATTTGGGTTAATGTTTTGGAAAAGAGGCGTGTCAATTCCAGAATTGTGCTAAGAGATCTGAATCTTTTGAAAAAATGGCGTCGAGTGCGGATCGCAAAAGAGATGTTTAAGAATGAAATTGAGAATGCTAGATTCATTAAAAGCATTATGCTTGTAAAGAGACGTGGGTTTATGAACTGAAACCGAAAAAAAACACCTTCAAGTCGGTCCAAATTGAAGGTAGTTTTCTTTGCTTATCATGCTGTGCTTTACCATAAACTCGTTCTACAGGTCAAAAGGGAAACGTAATTGAAAAGACTGGTTTTATGAGCAGAAAAATCGAGGACTTTCGATACAATAATGTATAGTTGCAAAGTAGTATGATTGCAGCCGACTTTTTGGCCATCACTCACCTACCATATACGACAGAATCGGCTCCCAGTGACTTGTTTCTGTTTACAAAATTTAAAATTCCGTTTGAAGAACGCGCCAAACGCCATTGAAACCATTACGGATATAAGGCATTCGCTAAAGAAACTGAAGGCCATTCAAATAGAGACTTAAGTGCTTGCAAATCTATGGAAAATTGCATTATGGGTTGGCACGTTATATTGCTTCAAAATCATTCTATTTTGAAGGCGATAAAGAATATTTATATTAAGTAGGTATAAATTTTAAGAAAGTTTTATTGTCAGCCCCGGTCAATACGATGGAATTACAAACGATCTGACAGCATTATTCACGTAATCCTCGTAAGTTCTACTTGCTTACGTATAAACTGATAAAATCGATCAAGGTCTATATATCATTAGCCGTATTAGATTCACCCATTACTTGCAATACTACCTATATTTCGTCTCTGAGAGAACAATGATGAATTGCATGCAGCTCATGTAATAGTGGATCTAATCTGATTAGAGTCGGTAAGCTGAAATCTATCGGTGTATTCATATTACAAACCATCTTAGTCTCTGCATACTCCACTAGTTTATGAGACTTTCTTTGATGTATGCCAATTGTTTGTTCGATTCACCATACTACAAATAGCTACTCATTTATTCCGCTTTCATTATTTTCAACTCAGTCCTCCCCTTTTAACCGCTATGAGCGCTTTACTCGTCGCTCACTTAGTTAGCTAAATTGCATTTGATTTTCTTTTTCGAAAGCAAACTTTTTAAGGATATTTTCTTCAGCGTTTTCGCTACTTAAGTGCTTACCCACCACCACACGTCTATGTGCATATGAATGCTGCTAGGTATGTTTGCGATTAAGTAGATTATTAATTTTGAAGTTTTGAAATTGTCATTCGGTCGTTTGTAAAGTTGAGTGTGCAAACAAACTTACCTGGTAAGCTATACACAGCCATATGTATGACAAACGCTGAGAAGGAATATGTCTGATATCCACAACCACCGTTGATGCTTAAATTAATAAAGGTAAGTACTTCATTATTTGACTTCGAGAATAACATTCGCATATGTGGGAGAAATATATCTAACGGCATTTGTTTATATATAACAAATATACTTTAATGGCAAAAAACCTTTAGTAGGCGAGTTGATTAAATTATAAAAATAAAATTATTTTTCTTCACACATTTTAGATTTTTGTTCTGGAGTACTTTGTGGGCAAAATCTTTTCTTCTGGTTATATAAAGGAACTGTGATGAATTATTAGTGGATGGCAAGTTTTCTGTTTTTATTATAATAATCGAAAGTTCATTAACAATGCTCTTAGTAGTAGTAGTAGAGTTTTACTAACCCTTCTTCACATTTCAAAAAGAGGATATGAGACTTAAAGTCAACGTTTTCTATCATAGTTTTTCCGAGCACACTTTAGTCCAGAGCTGGGTAACTTATTATAGTGGTTTACAGCGCATTGCCGTTCAAACTAAATATCTAATAGCCCAATAAAATTGTTGAGATAAATTTTTAAGCCTTATTTCGTGATATGAGTGTCTTTAGAATACACTTTCAACGCAAGCAAGGGTACCTCGTTATAATCCATGAAACCATACCTTCGTCGATTCTTTAGACTTTCTTGTACTTATTAATCTATACTCTCTCTCTTTCTCTTTCTTTTCCTCTCATTCATCTCATTCCATCCAATAAGTCGATTCTTTCAGCATAAATTGAGATAACTTATAGAAGCTCTGAACTTATGTTATTTTAAGTGAAAATCGCGTATTTTATTGGTTTAATAAAAAAAGCTTACTGAAAAAATGATCTGCTGAATTTTTCGAACTATGAGCTAAGCCTTTATGATTCTCAACATGGGGATTCCCCTTTGGCTTGTTATAAAATATATAAATCTTTGTGAAGTCATAAAATATACCACCTATAATCCGAACTTATAAGTACCTCCAAAGTACCTCCAGGGATACTCTAGACAGTTCAGTTCCCGTTAAGCAGGTTGCCTGAAAGTGTGAGCTTCCTGCTGTTTGAGCCTTGATTTCGCAAAGGTAAGCATTCAAGAAGCCAGTGTTGAGATGTTTCTTTGTATAGTGACCGGTAAGATTTCCAACTTTAGCATGTACAAGAACTAATGACAGCTCGAGGTTGTCCATACTCCCACGAAGCCGTGCCAACCAGTAGTAGAACGTATGAAGAGTATCTGTTGTATTTTCTTGTCAGCTCGTCAACTTTTGCAGTATCTGTGTGCTATTTTTTGGTATCGATTTGCTTTCGCTTTCTTGTT